ACCTCCAGATGACTCCAGCCCCAACTGCTATCAGACTATGACTGCACAGGAGACCTGAAGAATATGCTATAAGAACCTCCCACACAACCCTGAAAGATAATAAAACCATGTTTAAGCTGCTAAGTGTTGGAGCTGTTTGTTGTACAGCAATAGATACAAAACTTGCTACAAGAGATTAGATGAGGCAGAGTGCAAAATTAATGATGTTTTATAGAGGAGATAAAGCCTGAAGTATATCTGAAGGGTGGTAATTAAGTGTGGAAATCTTCTAGGCAGAAAGACTAAGTACAAAGGCAAGGAGGCTTTAGAAGGCAAGTATTAAAATAAGGGAAAGGCCATCAGTAGAGTCGGGGCACTGAGCAGATGGACAGGAAGGGGAATAGATATCAAATCATAAAAGTCTTGTATACCTGCTGAAATGTTTAAACTGCATCCTGTATGCAAAAAGAAGACATTAAGAGATTCAGGGGAATCCTGATAATGTCTGGATGTGAGAGAAATAACTTTGTTAACAGTGTGAAGAATGGAGAGAGCTAAGTCTAAAGGCAGTGGTCTGTCTGAAGCAATGCTGGAAAAAATTAAGAGAAGGGGGCTGAGCCTTCATGACTGGTCCAAACAGGATAAGAAACACATGGAACAGACTGGAACCAAACTACAGCTTGGAGCCAAGCCCACCTGAGTCAATCCCCAACTGACCCACAGAACAAGAATATTCAAAGGAAGAATAAATGATTGTCTTTTTTAAGCCCCTGAGTTTTGGGGTGCTTTATAGCATTATTGTGGCAAAAGCTGACTGAGACAGGGCCTAATAAGCGTGCCTGCCTCAAAGACTATTCTGAAATGTCAGTTCCCACAAGGTGCTTAGGAATAAACGGTAAGCAGAACGTGGCAAGCACTCATTAAGTGTTAGATATTTTTACTGCTGACATGTCCATCTGTATGGGTACCAGACATTCATTTGTGATTGTCCAGTTGGAAATTGGGTTCGGGCTGAGTACAAGTTTGGCAATATAGCTGGGGGAGTATGTAGTGCCGTGGGTTAATGGGACAAAGGAAGAAGACAGCTGAAGACAGAACCTGAGGAATAGTTGTCACCTGAGGAACCCATGTCTCCTTCCAGCCACTGCTCCATTTCTGTTCCTCGTTGCAACAAAACTCCGAGAGGATTATTTATACTAGTGGCTCCAGCTCCTCACTTCATATTTTCTCCCCAATCTACTCTAATCCTTTTGTCGAAATCACTCTTGCCAGGGCTATCAATAGCCTCCATTTTGTCAAAACCAATAATCAATTCAATGTTCTCATTTTACCCAAGTCTCAGCAGCATTTAACATAGTCAACAACTCCCTCTTTATTGGCGCACTTTCTTCAACAGGACTTTCAGGACACCACGTGGGCTCCTTGCTTTCCCTTCTAATTCCACTAACAGCTATGTCTCAGTCTCATCCTATGCTCCTCCTCCTCTACTACATCTCTACATGCTGGAGGGTCCCAGAGCTCATCCCTGTACCTCCTTCTCTTCACAGTCTATTACACATTCCTTCCCTAGGTAATCTCATCTGGCCTCATGATTTAAATACCATTTATGCTTAACTTTCAAATTTATATTCAGCAAGCAGCTCTTCCCTAAACTCCAGGTTCGTATTTCTAACTGGCTGCTCTTATATCCCTCCTTGGATGTCTGGTAAATCTTCTTGGTTCCACCTTCAAAATATATCCAGATTTTGACTACTTCTCATCATGTCCATCACTACCACCCTGGTATATATATAACCCACCATCAGCTCTTGCCTGAACTACTGCAAAAGCCTCTTTTATTCAATTCCCTGCTACTTATTTTACTCCTTCCACAGTCTAATCTCCAAACAACTGCCAGAATGAGTTTTTAAAAAATGTAAACCAGATCATATCGCTCCCCTGTTCAAATGCTTCCCACCAGACACCAGGGGGAATCCAAGTCCTTCCACAGGCTCCACAGCCCTGCATGACCCTGGCCAGCCTATCTTTTTGATCTCATCTTCTACCACTTTCCCCTGTATTCTATCTGCTCAAATCACACTGGTTTACTCTTGCAATTCCTCTAACAGGAGAAATTTGGGGCCTTAAACATGTTTTTCCTTGCTTAGAATGCTCCTTCCCTCATGACTTGATCATTTTTCCTTAAAATACTTACCAGTACTTGACATTATATCTTTGTTTCTCCCTACTGGATTATAAACTGCACGAGGGCAGGGACTTTCTCTTGTTCACTGCTGTATCCAATATCTAAAACAGTGACTGGCACAGGGAGGCAGTATTTCTTTTTTCTTTTTTTTTTTTCAGACAGGTCTCAGACCAGATAGGGCCTTAGAGACCACATTAAGGATTCGGATTTATTTTAAGAACAATCAGGAGTCATTGGGAGGGTTTAAACTAGGAAAAGAATATAATAAGGTCTGTATAATTATAAAGTTACCTCGGCTATTGTATAAAGAATGATTGGAAGGGATTAGGGGTACATGTGGGGAAATAAAAGAGGAGATTTTTACAGCAGGTGGCTCAGCTATGGTAAAGGTGCTTGGGATAAAGAGAAGATTCAAGAGACTACTAAATAGATGGAATGAACAGGACTGGATATGTGGATATAAGAGGGAAAGAAGACGAAGTCCATAACAAGGGAGGCAGTATTTCTCAAATGAGCAACTAAAGAACATCACTTAAAGGTCTGGCAGATCAAAGTGAGCAGTTTCTTAAGGTGCTTCAAACTCAAGTTCAAAAGCCTTTAAATAATATTAACTAATTCAAGTTGTAAACATAAAAGTTTGCCCAAGCTAACCTGCTTCTCCACCTCAGCAAGTACTGTGAGACATCTTTTTGTCACACAATAACAGGTAAGTACAGCACCTATGCTTCATAACCAGCTGTTAAATAACCTAAGTTTAAAAATCACTTTCAGAATAGAACAATGACTAGAACCTGAAGGACAAATACCATGACTACGCTGAAAATAGGAAAATTTCAAGGACTCAGATTAATTCACTTATTTTCTGTTGATGGGAAAGGACTGACTGATCAACAGCTTCAGTGAAAATATGAAATCAGCATTTTCCCTCTACATTCTTATCCTAGCAATCTCAATATTTTTTAAAGGAAAAAGCTACCCAACAATATTTTTAGATCAGTGGCTCTCACATATCAGTATTTAGGGAGAGTATTAAATATGCTCTCAAGATCCCACCTCCAAATATTACAATATTGTAAGGAGGGAGGAAGAGACCTACAAATTTAACAAGTACTCCAGGTGATTACAATGCAGGTGGACCAACAGCTCATTAAAGAATACTTCTAGTTTAGAAAATGTAAATGAGCTATAACCAATCCTCCTGGTTGACTTCAAACCAAAAACCAAAATGATCTAGATCCTAGCTTTTGAGTTGTTTTTTCCCCCTTTATAAATGTAATTGAACTAAATTACAAAAAATATGAGAAACAGAGGAAAAAAAAAAGACAACATCATCTTACCATTCCAACACAACTTTGGTTAGCATTTTGGTATATTTCCTTCTCTCCTTTTCTCTAAGTATACATTTGCTGTTTCTTTTCCCAGTTTTTAATCATAGTGAGCACAGTTTCAAATGCTAGTTATATACATTTTCCACATTCATATTATTACCTAGTCTCCATGAATATCATACTTAGTTGCTACACTACATTCCATCAAAGGCACCTATCACTGTTTATCTAAGCATTCTCTCTGCTTGACTACTTCCTCACTACTATAAATAATCCTGCCTTAAATATTTTTGTGGGGAACATTTTCAGTACTTGAATACCTCCTACCTGTGGGGAAAACAATCTACAGTGCCAGACTGTTTTACCACCACCTCTGTCAGAGAGGGCTCCCCAGATGTTATCTTAAAAAAAAAAACAAACTGGAGGGTTTAATGGAAGAGGAAAAGTACATTTTTTAATTTGCACTTCTTTAATTACTATCGAAGTTAAACACTCATTGTTAATTATTATTTTTTTTTTCCCTAAGTTATCTATCCTGTCTTTATCCACTTATTAATGGGATTTTAGATTTCTTTTCTACCTGTGTTGTGTTAACCTTGTATTCAATTTTCTTGATCTTCCTGAGAGCTGTGAGCCTTTGTGGAGTATTTATCTGTATCTGACCTACCTGTTTTTGTCTCAGTACCACAAAGACTGCTATTTTAATGATACATTCTACTCAGGCAGATAAAACCATCTTGGTATAATGAAACACACATGGCCTCTGGTATGACTTGGCTCTGTTACCTCTTCAAGTTACTTGACTTCTCTGGGCGCAGTCCCATTTGTAAAATTGTAGCAAACAATACCTATACGTTCCCAAATGGCCTTTCGTGAATAACAGCTAATAATGGCAAACTATTAGCTCCCGTCCATTAAATAAAATTAATCAGAAGTCAATCTTCTATCCTCAAGTAATCAAAAAGCAAACTCTTAACATCGAAAGGGAGATTCGTTTTTAAGCAAACATAACCTTATCTGCAGGAACAAAAGGTAGCTAAAGCCAAACTTACTTTTTTGATATTCACTGTCCTGGATCATGACAACTAACACGAATGAAAAAGGCATAAGAGTATAAAAATAAAATAAAAGTAAAACTAAATTTTAAAAAAATTTAAAAGGTCATCTCATCTACAAGACTTCCCAAGTATCCCTCTCCCCCAACAAAAACCTAAAACGTCGCAAATGGGCAATCAGTACAACCTGACCCATACTCTGTCCTCACCACTTCTCTAATTCCCAAGCGTGGGCAACAACACGCTACTGGAATGTGAAAACGCACGCTAATTGGCCCTAGACACTAATATTTACTCTCACAGCCGGCGGGCAGCCGTCCCGGCCGACAGATTTCGGTTTCGCCCTTCCCGAGCATCACAGACTCGGGAGGAAACTGAGGCCGGGAGGGTAAGGAGAGCGATGCCCAAGGACACCGCGGGGTTGGGGAGGCCGGCTCGGTGCCCGCCGCTCACCTCAGCAGCGTCAGAAAGGCGGCGGGCTCCACGTCTGGCAGCTCGATCTCGGCCGACGTGGTGGCCATGCCGCCGTTGAACATGGCGTCGAAGACTGCGCTGCCCGCAGCCAGCACGAAGCGGTGGGCGGGGATGCGCTGCGGGCCCCCAGCGGCGGCGGCGCCGCGGCCTTTGCCCAGCACGAAGCGCACATCGCTCAGCAGCTCCGAGTTGAAGAGGAACGCGAAGCGCTCCTTCAGCGACGCCTTGGTCGCCTGCCAGTTGTACAGCGGCTCCCGCTGCAGGGGGAGCAGGGGCCCCAGAGAGGACGGCGGCGGCGGTGGCGGCGGCGGCCCCGCGGCGCCCGGCTCCGCCTCAGCCCCCGGGACCTGCTCGCCCGTAGTTGCCGGTCCGAGCGAGGCCATCCTCCAGCGGCGCGGCTCTGCGGGCTAGAGACAGCGTTACCGCCGCCCGGCCGCCATCGCCGAGGCCGTCCCCCGAGGCCGGCACCGCCTCCCTGCCTTCCGGGAAAGGCGCTTCCGGAAGCCGCGCGCCTCCGCCGGCCCCGCCCTGGGCTGCCCTGCGCGCGTCCCCGCTGGGCCGGGAGGCGGAGGCGCGCGTGGCCGTCCAGGCCGGACGTGGAGGGGACGGTGACCTCTGCGGCGTCTGGGCCGCCCTGGGCTCACCGAGCTCACCCGAGCCCCGTGCTCCGGGTGGTGGGACTTCGGTGAGCTACGTGCGGCCCGGCACGGGCGCCTTCTCAGACCTGCGGGCCCCGAAGCCCTCGCCTCTCCCTCCCTTCAGGCCCCTCGTCGCCAGCTGCAGCGCCCCCCACGTGTATCTAGGACAGGTCCCTAGGCTCTCCTTCTAGGAGTCGCACGCCTGGAAGTGGAGGGGGCCAGAGGGCATGGCCGACAAAGCAGGTGGGAGGGGACGACCTGATTCCACGTAGCCCCCTCCCCCAGTGTCGTCCAAGTCACCGCTCCAGAGGGCCGGTGCTCCTGTAGTACCCCTGGAGCACAGCTTGGAGACCCTCTGCATCTAACAGCCTTCCCTTTCCTCCTTCTTCCTGTTCTGTCTCTAATTTTGGTATCTGTGTGGACTCAGGCATTTTTTAAAATGTATTTTAACCCATTACCAAAAATTAACCATATTTTAAATCTCAAAACAACCCTCAAAGGTACCAAAGCAAAAATAATACAAGTAGTATAGGCTGCATTATCTGGTACAGGACAATAAAGTCATAATTTAACAGCAAAAAAAATGAAGACACTGCGTTATCAAAACTTGTGGAACACAAAAGTTGAGTTCAAGGCTAGAGCATAGCCAAAAGCAGTTGTTTACCAAAATGAAAACAATGAAAATAAGTGAAATAGAGGATCTGGTGGTCGCCTGCCAGTTGTACAGCGGCTCCCGCTGCAGGGGGAGCAGGGGCCCCAGAGAGGACGGCGGCGGCGGTGGCGGCGGCGGCCCCGCGGCGCCCGGCTCCGCCTCAGCCCCCGGGACCTGCTCGCCCGTAGTTGCCGGTCCGAGCGAGGCCATCCTCCAGCGGCGCGGCTCTGCGGGCTAGAGACAGCGTTACCGCCGCCCGGCCGCCATCGCCGAGGCCGTCCCCCGAGGCCGGCACCGCCTCCCTGCCTTCCGGGAAAGGCGCTTCCGGAAGCCGCGCGCCTCCGCCGGCCCCGCCCTGGGCTGCCCTGCGCGCGTCCCCGCTGGGCCGGGAGGCGGAGGCGCGCGTGGCCGTCCAGGCCGGACGTGGAGGGGACGGTGACCTCTGCGGCGTCTGGGCCGCCCTGGGCTCACCGAGCTCACCCGAGCCCCGTGCTCCGGGTGGTGGGACTTCGGTGAGCTACGTGCGGCCCGGCACGGGCGCCTTCTCAGACCTGCGGGCCCCGAAGCCCTCGCCTCTCCCTCCCTTCAGGCCCCTCGTCGCCAGCTGCAGCGCCCCCCACGTGTATCTAGGACAGGTCCCTAGGCTCTCCTTCTAGGAGTCGCACGCCTGGAAGTGGAGGGGGCCAGAGGGCATGGCCGACAAAGCAGGTGGGAGGGGACGACCTGATTCCACGTAGCCCCCTCCCCCAGTGTCGTCCAAGTCACCGCTCCAGAGGGCCGGTGCTCCTGTAGTACCCCTGGAGCACAGCTTGGAGACCCTCTGCATCTAACAGCCTTCCCTTTCCTCCTTCTTCCTGTTCTGTCTCTAATTTTGGTATCTGTGTGGACTCAGGCATTTTTTAAAATGTATTTTAACCCATTACCAAAAATTAACCATATTTTAAATCTCAAAACAACCCTCAAAGGTACCAAAGCAAAAATAATACAAGTAGTATAGGCTGCATTATCTGGTACAGGACAATAAAGTCATAATTTAACAGCAAAAAAAATGAAGACACTGCGTTATCAAAACTTGTGGAACACAAAAGTTGAGTTCAAGGCTAGAGCATAGCCAAAAGCAGTTGTTTACCAAAATGAAAACAATGAAAATAAGTGAAATAGAGGATCTGGGAAGATGGCAGAGTAGGAAGCACCAGGAATCTGAATCCCCACCTAAATAACAATTCCACTACCTGAATCTGTCTGATGTACTTATTTTGGAACTCTGGACTCTGTTGAAGGCTGGTAACTTCTAGGGGAAGACTTGGACAGTAAATCGCTGTTAATTTTGGTCAACTTCAGCTCTTTGCACAGTAGTAGCTACCCATCCGTCACCACCAGCTGCATGGCAGTACACGTGTTCCTGGAGCAGCTTGCACACAGCTTTGTCACCTACAAATTGGCACTTGCCATCTACCTCTATAAGGATCAAATTATGAGCCACTGTAGCTGCTGACCTTCAACACCCCCTGAAAGGAGTTCAGGGTGGAGATCGGGAATGAGGCACTCTGTGCTCTGGGAAAAACTGGCAGAACAGGTCTTCGGATAGTTAGATATTTTCAGAAGTCCAATTCTTGTATCTCCTCATATCTAGAAAAGCACTAAAATCCTTTACAGTGATGTCTGCTCCTTGTGACTAGTAGTAAACTTCACAAGACTAGCAGAAAACTTCAAAAAATATGTGCTTGATTGCATGTACTCCCCCTTCACCAAAATTACATATATACTGACCTCCCCACTCTTTGGAGCAGTTTCTCAGAGCTATCTGAAATGCTGTCTCCCAGGCTATAGTCCTCATTTTGCCCCAAATAAAGCTTAACTCACAACTCTAACGTTGTGCATTTTTTTTTCAGTCAACAGCTTGTAGGAGGAGCCAGGGAGGGCAAAAAGGCACCTATCCTCCAAACACTGGGGATCTGTGCTCTGATTTCTGCTTCTGAACACAAATGTACAGACAAAGAGGAGGCAGCTATGGTTGTTGTAGTACCTCTCTCCATTGTTGCAAGATGCTTTAGCTGAAGTGACTTCCCGGGGATTTAAAGGACCAGCACCTTCCCTACCCCCCCACCCCCCCCACTCCCGTCCTTCATTTTCACTTTTTACCTTTGGGGGAGCCAGGTATTAAAGACTAGTATATTAAAAAGCAACCGTATTCATGGGGAAAATTAGAAAGTAACCATACATGCCAAAAGTCTGAGAAAAGACCTGAGAAGACCTTAAGTTTATACCTCAGGCTGATCCTTGGCAAAGAGACAGATTTTACAGTAATCAAAACAACAAAAATAGCAAAAAATAGCAAATGCTGGGGAAAAGGGAGAATCTGATTTGCAAAATTACCACATTACTAGATTCAAATGTCCAGTGTTCAACAAAAAAAATCGCAAGGCATACAAAGAAATAGGAAAGTTTGACCCATTCAAAGGAAAAAAAATAAATCAGCAGAAACTGTTCCTGAAAAAGACTTAATGGCAGATATACTAGACAGACTTTAAAACAACTATCTTAAAGATGCTCGGCTAACTTAAGAAAATGTGGAGAAAATCGAGAAAATGATGTGTGAACAAAACAGAAGTATCAATAAAGAGATAGGAAGCTTGAAAAGAAACCAAAAAGAAATTCCAGAGCTGAAAAGTACAATAACTGAAATGAAAAATTTGCTAGTAGAATTCAAGGGCACACTTGAGCAAGCAGAAAAAAAGAATCAGCAAACTTAAAGATAAGACAATAGAAATCGTCAAGGCAGAGAACATAAAGAAAAAAGATTGAAGAAGAGCAAACAGAGCCTAAGAGAACTATAGGCCCTCATAAAAGAGACAACGCTGTGAGAGTTCTAGAAGGAGAAGAGAGAGTGAAAGGGGCAGAGAGAACACTTGAAGAAATAATGGCTGAAAACTTATGAAGCAAAAACTGACAGAATTGAAGGGAGAAATAGACGGTTCTACAGTAATAGTTGGAGACCTCAATATCCCACTCACAGTAATGGATAGAACAACCAGACAGAAGATGAGTAAGGAAATAGAGGACTTGAACAACCTGATAAGCCAACTAGATCTAACAGACATATACAGAACACTCCACTCAACAACAGCAGCATGCACATTCTTCCCAAGTGAACATGGGACATGTCTTCTCTGACCACAAAGAGATGAAGTTAGAAATCAATAACAAAGGGAAAATGGGGAAATTCACAAAATTGTGGAAACGAAACAATATACTTTTAAACAACCAATAGACCAAAGAAGAAATCACAAGAGAAATTAGAAAATACTTAGAGACAAATGAAAATGAAAACGCAAAATACCAGGGACTTCCTGGCGGTCCAGTGGTCAGGACTTTGCCTTCCAATGCAGGGGGTGTGGGTTCAATCCCTGGTTAGGGGGCTAAGATCCCACATGCCTCATGACCAAAAACCAAAACATAAAGCAGAAGCAATATTGTAACAAATTCAATAAAGACTTTAAAAATGGTCTACATCAAAAAAAAAAAAAATCTTAAAAAACCCCCACAATATACGGGCTTCCCTGGTGGCGCAGTGGTTGAGAGTCCGCCTGCCGATGCAGGGGATGCGGGTTCATGCCCCAGTCCAGGAGGATCCCACATGCCGCGGAGCGGTTAGGCCCGTGAGCTGTGGCCGCTGAGCCTGTGCGTCCAGAGCCTGTGCTCCACAACGGGAGAGGCCACAACAGTGAGAAGCCCTCGTACTGCAAAAACAACAACAACAACAAAAAAAAAAAACACAATATACCACACAACATTGTAAATCAACTATACATCAATTTAAAAATATATATATACCAAAACTTAGGAGATGCAATAAAAACAGTGCTAAGGGGGAAATTTACAGCTATAAATGCTTATGTTAAAAAACAGGCAATATCTCAAATCAACAACCTAACTTTACAAGTTAAGGAACTAGAAAAAGAAGAACAAACTAAACTCAAAGCTAGCAGAAAGAAGGAAATAATAAATATTAGCGCACTGATAAATAACATAGAGAACAGAAAAACAGTACAGGAAATCAATGAAACCAAAAGTTGATTCTTTGAAAAGATCA